TGCTGATATAAATCGATCACCAATTAGCTCGATTACTTATTAAATGTAGAGCACGCCAAATTGCTGAAGCAAAAAATTTATATGATGCAAAAAATGAATGGCTTAATTATTACTGCTGAATCAGGTTCATTAGATACATTACGTTTATTGGTTGAGGCCGGTTGAGATGTTAATTATAAAATTGAGGAAAGGAATATAATAAGTAAAGGACTTTTCAATAATATTATTTATTGATTTTTTTTGTTTATTAGGATGAAACAGCTGGTCGTGCCCTTTATTTTGTGCATGTGCAAAAGGTTTCCAAGATATTGTTGAATATTTAATTGAAAAAAGAGCTGATGTCGACGGAACAGAAAAAGTATCTAAATGATTAACTAATGATTAAGATTAATTTGTTAAGAAAACAAAGAAATCATTTTGAAATGCTAATAAATATCAACCACATAACTACAACAGGCATATTTGTTGATGAATTGATTTTTGCCTGGTGGAGAAATTATGATACCTTGTATTTACAGTCGTTTGTGTGTTCAATTGTTGGAACCATGACCTGAATTGAAAAATTGAATTCATTTATTTATGCTGAATCTTTAGGGTGTGGGTGATCCAAATAGAATCGCACATCTTGACCGATCCCTACAATCCAGATGTCCACAGCGGTTCACATTTACGCGTACTGAGGCTTCCATTCACACATACACCAACATCCGCACACCTCCACTCTTTAATTGAATTTTGTTCACAACGAAGAGAGATTTGTATTTGATTTTTTGGCATACCACTCTATAGTATAATTCTAAAAAAGACCAAATTTTTGTCAGAAACGGTTAAGTATTCATTGATTTATAAAGATAACAAAATTAAAAATGTCACCCTACATTTTATCTGAGATTCATTTTTTTGTTATCTTATATAAAATTTTTGCACTAACGAAGTTTCTAAAGCAAACTTTTTGTCCATCTCAAATAAATTTCCTCTTACTTATTTCTCTCTTATATCCAATCAAATTTGAAAAAAATTCTCCAGACGAAACGTCAATAATGTTAATGGCGCTCTACTGAAAAATGAAAAAATGCTTTAACATCCATTGTCGACAGTTTTTCATTTATAAAACTTGATCTAAAGCGTGTATCATCAGATCATTTTTTGTTTCAATCTCTTCGGAAAACATCTGTGAAAGATACACTACGATGAACTCAATTCCGACCTCATTGTCTTTTCCAAATCACAACTGGCTTGTTTCTATAAACGTGAGATTGAACAATTGCCAGCAAGATAAGTGAACAGTGTTGAAACTAATGCCGATTATATTGTACATTGATGTTGCATATTCTTATCGTAAAATAAATTTGTTGTTGAACAAAAAGACTTGCAGAACTCATGCCTCAACGCAATACATTATACAGATATTTGTTTAAACAAAATTAATTTATTTCACAGCTTATTATTTATCATACATGATTATTTTCATCTCTATATAGATTTCATTTCTTACAACAATAGACAAGTAAATTTTCTTTTGTTTTATTCTGTTTTTATTGATTTTAATACTTTATTTTTGTCTTTCGATATATTAATGAATAACATATTTCTGCAGACGGAAAATATTGTTCTAAAGAATTCGAACATTTTGATTCACACTTAAATTTAATTTATTTATTTTGGCACAATTAATTCGTGTAGCGTCTCTTTTGAAATAGTTTGTTACTCATTGTAAAGATTCATAATTGATATGAAGAATAATATTGTATAGTAAATACGTTTTAGTATCAAATCGAAATTGTTCTATATAATCATCATGAAGATGAACAATAACAAGTTCACTAAGAAAAAAATATTCAATAACAGATATATTCCGATTATCATTGTTTGATTCATAAAATTGTTTACAAGTTTGTGGTTTATGATTAGGCAAACATAGTTTTTCCATAAATGGAAATTATTGAACAATTCGAAGAAAAATTCATGTTCAAACGGATGTTCATCAAACAATGACACCATACGGACATAATTGAATAATCCACCAGGAAAATTATTTGAGATATCGCTGTAATATTCCATTAGAGATAGATATGAGTAAATATGACATAGGCCTCGTTCGGCCTTTGGAAAATAATCAACATAAGAAACTGTTTCATTATTTGGAAAATCAATGAATGTACGTTGAATATCTTCTGTTGATGGCAAATTCAATTTATTACGAGTAAACATGGATGAGCTAATGTAAAATGTAAACTGATTTAAACTTGGCATACGATTAATAATGTTTTTCTTCAAATCGTTTCCAACAATAAATGTTTTATCAACATGGATCAGAAGATACAAACCGAGCTGTTCTAGATTTGACATATGATTTAGAAGTGGGAGAATTGTTTCATCGTGACTAGTTGTTTCGAGATTACATGACAGAGAAAAACACTTTAGATTTGATAAATCACCCTAAAAAAAAATTTATTTTGTTATTTGACAACATAGAGGGTTTTCTTGTTGAACTAACTTGAGGGTGTGGGTGTGATGCAAGAACACACCCACACCCACACCCTTTTCTCACGCTAGGTAATTTTACATAATAACCAAAATGATTCGGTGGGTATTTGACATTGAATGAATCATCGGTATCATATGTTAAACTTAAACCAGATGAACTTAAGAGATCCACTTGATAGTAAGAACTTAATTGAATGACTTCAACACCTTCTAAACCTGTCATAGATACTGAGCCATAATATCTAACAGATCCTTTCTTTTTATCAAGAACATAGATATTATTATGGCAGTCCGTCGTGAGGTCAATAGGAGAGAGATCTTCAGTCACTATGATACTATCCTCTAAATCTAATGACCATTTAATAATGCGAGAATTCATGTTATCTATTATGTATAAATCGTTGGTAAATAAATTGAGATGAATCTTCTCTGGATTTTTCAGTTGAGTTTGTTTTGAACTACCAGTTCCATTAGCAACAACAATAATATATTCCTGATAAAGCGTGCTAACCATTTAACTACTCTATGGTTTAGATATTCAGAAGCAAATATATTCAAATTTTGGTCTAAATAAATTCCATAACAGCTGCTATTAGTGGAATTGACAATAACAAGACCATCTTTTGAATTGTTCGGCCAAAATACAATACGATAAACATCTTCAATATAGTGATCAACGATGTACATATGTTCGTTTTTGTCGACAAAAATAGCTATTGGATTTCTGAGTTCAGGAAATGTTGAATCTTCATGTGAAGAGCTTATATTACCAGCAACTACTCTGCCATTTAAAGAATCAGGTGAATATTTCAAAATTCGATTATTATCTGAGTCCACCACGTATAGATTTCGATTCTCATCAAGAAAAATGTCTGAAGGATTGCTTAATTCAAGAGATTTTCTAAAACCAGAAATGACTTTTGATGTTTGAATATAGACGGGAATTGTTTCTGGTATTGAACAATTTGCTGAAAATGGATTTGTTACATTTTCAATTGGTTGAACTAAACAGATCGAAGATTGTTTTTTGTAAAAGCAAACGAAAATCGAATCTCAGAAGTCAACGTTGGCAAAAAGTCTGTATTTCTAGGTTTATTGAATCTTTCTGATCGGCTACCACAAATCATATAGAAAAAAAAATCATTTTCCTGATATTTATTATTGCTCTACCATCGAGATCACAAAAATATGACTTTTCAGAACAAAATTGCTACAGTATTTAATGGTTTTATACTGCCATTGGGGAAAACCCAATCATAATAGATCAAAATTTTGAAAAATTCAATTTCTTTTTGAGTGTCTAATCACAAAAAAATATGAAGTTTTCATCTATTCATTGAGTTAATACAAGAAAAGCAGATACTAATATAGATTTAGGATGATTTCATGCAACTCTTCTCATATTTAAATCAAAATTATTCTTATAAGACTCACTTATACATACTAGTCTTATAGTCATTACTGAAGAATGTAGAAACTGATATATACTTTGGATCTGGATATAGATGGGAATAAATAAAAGATCTATACTAACGCAAATATCAAAATTAAAAAGCAACGACTCCTACCTATTCACACTCATATCAGTAGCTCCATACTGTTTATTGTCCAGATTCAGTGCATAATCCATCTTATTAGTGCTATATGCTATACATATAAGAAGGAAGATTTGCTACTAATGATCTTCGATTCTTCTGGGAAGCAACATTTTTTTTAGTGTTATGAACCATGAATGTGTGCTAAAATATTTTTACATTAATCATAGAATTCTCAAAACCTTATAGATGATCACTACAAATCAAACCTTCTCGATATATTGGAACCATATTGTCAAAAGGAACATATCAGATTGGAAAGGCTTAACCACAAATGAGTGATTTATTTACATTCATAAAGGAATTTGATTTTATTGAAGTGCCTTTTTATTCATCGACTTTGTTATATTCGTTCTTAATTTGAATACAAACCCAAGTGGAATGCAAACCGTAATCAGCACACCAAATATCAATACGCATACAAAAGTTCGTATAATTTTCTTGCGATACACGAAAAAGAACGCAAATAATGTAAGTCTTTGCCTGTCATAGATTGGCTCTTGAGGCAGACCAAGTTCACCAAATTTCATCACTGAAATATCTGTGAAAAACAAAAAAAATATAGTTGAAAATCTTGTTCTAAATTTCTGAAGTAGACTTAAGTACGTCATAATGAATCAAAATGACTCTCCTTGGCATGTTTTACCATGTACATGCAGGTAAGAAAATGCAAATGCGGTCCTTATTATTAGTTTTGTGATGTATATTAAATACTTTTTTCATACTCAATGAGTCGGCTCACTTCCTTGTGAATAAGTAATAGACTGCAAATATCCGAGGAAGAAAAAGATAAATGTTTGATTGGCTGAGGTACCAATCATAACGATGATTGTCAATAATTGCTTTGATTACAACGAATTTTTTTTCCCTGCCTTTTCTTCTTTTCTTTCTTATTCGTGATTATTTGTATTATTCAACATGGGTCATAAGGCTGTAAAACTAAATAGAAGTCGTCAACAAGATGAAGATGGACTGTTCATTTCGAAACCATCAAGCCGATGTAGCTCATTAAATGAAAAACAAACCGATCCATTTATGTTAATTTGGTTGGATGAAAAATCAAATGAAAATACACTTGATACTCTTCGTACAAAAACTTTATTTCGACAAATCAACAATGATCTTTGCTTATTTTTCGATAATCCCAATATATTTCTTCATGAAATTGAGAAACTGCATCACGAAAATAAAAAAATTCTTCTTGTCGTATCTGGATCATTAGCTAAGATGATTCTATCAAGAACAGTGGACACTATTGCAACAATTATAATATTCTGTAGTAACTATAACAAATACGCAGAATTAATGAGTAAATATTGGAACGTGATAGATATTTGCACTGATCATGAAATGCTTAAAAGTTGTATACAATGCGAGATCCCTTCGTTGAAACTCAATTTATTTATCAATCAGACTTTTAGATCAATTAGACCATTGAATTCTTCAAAAGATTCTTATGAGACCAACGCAGCTCAGTTCTCTTATCTTCTGTTTATCGAATTACTGAAACAAATGTCACAAACGAAACAAGCCAAAGAAATTATGTTAAATAAATGTAAAGATTATTATCGCCACGATAAGAAAGAACTCAAAAAAATCGATTTATTTAATTCGACATATACAGCTGATAAAGCGATCGATTGGTATACCGAAGATTGTTTTGTTTATCGTTTAGTTAATCAAGCATTTCGTACAGAGGATATCACTTTGTGGTACCTATTTCGATTCTTTATTATCGATCTTTGCACTCAATTGAAGAATGTTCACAGAAAACAAAATATTCAAGACTATTTAACACTTTATCGTGGTCAAGCACGAATGCCAACACAAGACTTAGAAAGCATACGCTCCAATATTGGTAGTTGCATTTTAACGAATGGTTATCTTTCAACAAGTAAACAAATCAACGTTGCTCGACAGTTCATTCTAGATGCAGAAAATAACGACGATTTTAAGGTTGTCATGTTTGAAATTAATGTGAATGCATCTCAATTAAAAAGCGTTATTTTTGTTGATATTGATCAATACCAAGGAAGAAATGAAGAACATGAAATATTGTTCAATATTGGATCAGTTTTTAAAATTCAGAATGTTGAATTTGATTTCGAATTAAATATCTGGAAAATTCAAATGGAAGCAACGGACGAATGTATAGATGAAATAGAACGTAGAATCGATACAATGCGAAAAAAATTTCAAAACGGAAATATTAATTTATTATTTGGTCGTTTATTAATTGATATGTATCAATATACTAAGGCCGAATCTTACTTTCAAATGATGTTAAAAGTCTTGCCAAAAGATCATGAAGATTTAGCCTCCGTATACGATCATATTGGGGATGTGAACATGCGCATGAACAATTGGAATGAAGCTTATAGAAATTTTTCTCTAGCTTATGATATTAAAAAAATTCGCTTGCGTTCCAATCATCCAAGTCTTGGAGTGACACTAAACAGTCTCGGTAATTATCATCAAGCAATCGAAGAGCATGCTGAAGCTCTTAATTGTTACTTGAAAGCATTACGATGCAATAACGATCAACATAATGCAGCAATCACAAAACTTAATATCGGAAACATTTATATGATCAACGGTCAATTTGACGATGCCATTAAATTAACCATCGAAGCACGAGATATTCTACAACAAATTGAACCATGTGCACAGGTTGAATTAATGCATTGTCAAGGTATTCTTGGAGACATTTACTTTGCTCAAAAAGATTTTGTTGCTGCAGAGCATTTCTATCTAACAGTATTCGAACTTAGCAAGAAGTATGTATTTATCGGTGCGCGAGAACGAAAAAATTGTGTGAAAGCACTCGTTCATTTATATGAAGAGAAAGACAATAATCACAAGGCAATTAACTTTTGTCTCGAGCAAATTACTTTGCATGAACAACTTCTTGGAGAAAACCACTCAAGTATTGCTCATCTACTCATGAAAGTAGGGGAACTTTATATAAATGATGATCAAAAAAAATTCCAAGTCCTCAAAAGAGCATTGCATATCTTCGAGAAAAATGTTCATCTTGAATATGCTACTACGGCAACATGTTTAATGATGGTAGCCAAGTGTTATGTTCAACAAAACCAACATGATAAAGCTTCTATGAGTTACATGAGAGCTCTGGAAATACAACAAAAAATTTATCCGCCAAATCATTCTATGATTATTGGAACACAAATATTAATTGATGCACAAGAGAGTAAAGCAAACTAATTCTGTTCCTAGAATTCAGTCAGTTGATATTTTCTTAGAAAAAATAAATTGAGAATACTTCTCATAGAAACAAGTTGAAAATAGTTTATGCTACTTCTTTTATTCTTCTTGTTTTCTTTTTACACAGAAATTGATACCGATCACATTATTAACTAATAATTATGGTTTATTGACAGAAGGAAGGGATACTTTTATAGGTTCCCACAAATATATAATGCACTGCAATTGCACATTTTTATTAAATCTTCAACAACTGGAATATGTTCGTGGGTTTTGATGCAGTTTGAGTATTGTGAGGACTTACTGAAGAATGATGGTGTGGGTGTGTAGTGTTGGTGTGCGTGTGGATGTTGATGTGGTTGTGGCTGGGTGTCGAAACAAGAGTAATACTTGCACCACACACCCACACCCTCCTAACCCATTGTTTCTAACTGACGTTTATTATTTCTATGCCTTCCTGTTTCAGATAAATAGTGCGAATCGCAAGGAGTAAGCTTAATGAAAGTACGTTTTTAGGAAAGATCTCAGAAAGCCATCTGTTTCTTTAGCTTTCAACAAGGTATATAATCGAAATTATGGCAGATTATTAGGTCTTTATCAGTAATATAACTGGTAAAAAAATCATATGTTTTGGTCTATGAATAGAATCTATACGATGAAAAACAAACTGGGTATCCGACCAGACTGACCAACCCCCATATATGACAGTTTTACATACAAAAAATAACCAGAAAAATTTGGAAGCGAATTTTCTAGATTTTAATCAATAACAGTCTTACCCAATTCAATTTGAAGATATTTATGTTGAAATAAAAACGAATGCAATGATTTATATTTCAACAGTTCATAATTACTAGTATGTATGTAACTTCGAAACTGATCTATTATATTCATTGGAAATGAGTCTTTCCATGCATTGTATAATTGATTGTGACATTGAAATATCAACTGTACAATAAAATAAATCAAAAACCTACGGTATACCTTTAGAACATACTTAATTACCGAGTACCAAGCATCACGACGATTTTTTTTATTGATGTCTCTCAATAATGACAAAAAAGACTTTCCACTCATAGCTTAATTCACAATTTTAAGACTTCGTCAGTGAAATAACAACAAATTCAAAAAGAAATAAAACTAATCACGTTTCGTTCGGTGGTGAGTCAGATTTCACACTTTCGAATGCATTTCGTTAGTTGCATATAGCTGAGTAACGATGAATCACAATAATGACTCATGAGGAAACCTTCCCAACTGTCAAATCGCTTTTTGGATGAAACCTGATGGGTTCTAGGTTATCGACTATGCTGATTCTAAATATGGATATGAGAAACGTCCCTAGGCCTTTATAGACTGGCTTTCAAGAAAACCGGTTTTTAGAAAAAAGAAATTTTTACCAAAATTGCTTTTTGATATGTTCAGGTTATAGAGCATATCGGATTGTCCACAAATCAATAGTTTTTCTATTTTGGAAACATGGGCTCGAAAAAAATAATACAAACTTTTGTATTTTTATAATAAAACGTTACAGTATGCATCTGTTTTATGAATTCAAAAGGCTGTATTCTCTGGAAAATCGATTTGAAGCAGAAATAGTTATTCTTTTATAGACAATTCTATATGCTCTATAATCTCAGCACATTAAAAAGAACATTTGGTAAAAAGATGGTTATTATGGAAAACCGATTTTCTAGAAAACCAGCCTATAAAGGTCTAAGGGCATTTCTCATATCCATATTCGGAATCAGCATAGTAGATAACCTAGAATCCAGTAGGTTTCATCCCAAAAGCGATTTGACAGTTGGGAAGGTTTCCTCATCAGTAGGAAGTTATGACTTTGAAATTTATTTAATTGGTATTTTATCCAATCTGAATCATGCATGTGAATAAATAAATTGCACTTTTGAAGCTACTTTTCTTGTGTCCATTTCATACAAAACATGAACAACTATTCACTTTCTTATGATTGATGATACCAGCATATATTTAATTAATATCCTCACGGCCAATGATTCTGTGAATTTATGTGGAGAAATATTTGCTTTAGCGGAAGACAGCGAAATAAATGTATTCCATGATGAATATGAGAGGGCAAAGCACACTCAATGTGGAACTCTTCCGCTGAAACTCGCTTGAATTCGCAAGGTTTGTCAAGAATGGTAATATATGTATCATGCATGTTAAGAAATTGTAAGAATAAAAGATTAATGAAATAACATTGATGCCATACCAATGATCATATTTTCTATTTTTCGCTTTTGTTTTCACAAATGTGCATCGATTGTAATATCTTTAAAGAATTCTTGATAAGAATAATCCTTTTTTATTCTTATTTGAAGTTAAGCAGTAATAATGTAGTGAGTTTCAATGATATTTGATGACGCCAAGGTAGTTGTGATGTAGGAAACTCAGGAAAATTCTGATGAGTGTGCCACAATCAAAAAAATTCAGAAGAAAATGATAAAGCCAAAAGAATTGGAGCATCAGAAGTGATCTAGAAAAGTTTTTAAAATAACAAATCTTTGCCCTATTTCTACAAGATCTGACAACCCTGTTCCTCAGATCCATTTGCTCAGACGTATCATGGAACCCGAGTCGTATTTCAGCTGTTGGAGATTAAATATGGCTTTTGTTGAAATAGATGTAGTAAATTGCCGTTATTTCCGTTAATATAGAGTTTTAAGGGCAGTCACATAGGGTGGGGCGTGGGTATGGATAGTATTCATTCATACCCATACCCATACCCACACTCACACTCACATCCGCATCCACACTTTGCACGCACACCAGCATTTACATCCACACTCTACACGCACATCCACATCCACACCCACACCCTTCTTAGATGTAGGTTGCACTGAATCAAACAAATAACGATAAATGATGATCAGTCAGCAAGTTGTCATGTTCTAGAGCTTATATCTACACATGAAGTTTTATCAATAGTGAACATTTGAACACCACTATTTCCAGTATCGATCATGCACAAATTTCCATGCTGATCAAATATTAGATTATATGGATTTCATAAATGATCCATTCCATTTCCTGCACGTGGTCCACCAATGATGATGCTGTCCGATGCAGAATTGTTAAACAAATGCAAAACACGTTGATTCTCACTGTCAACAACATAAACAGTGCCCATTTGGTCACCAATCACAGAACCAGATTCATTCAACTGATTAATACCATTTCCTTGCCCATTACCTCCAGCTACAACAATGCCTTGTTTGCTTTTGACGAGCCATTTCACTATAAGATGATTGAGACAAACGGCTACAAAAACTGATTGATCCCGATCGACAAATAAATGGTACGGTTCTGAAAGCTGATTTAGTGCAGCACCTTGCCCGTTTCCACCAGCGACTAACTGGCCACTTGCGTGTGGGTATGGGTGTGAGTGTGGTTGTGGGTGTGATTGTGGGGTGTGGTTGTCGGGTGTCGGTGTGGTTGTGAGGTGTGGATGTGGCTCTGGCTCTGGCTGTGGCTGTAGGTGTGGTTAAGGGTGGATGTGGGTGTGTGCATTTGCTTCCTGTTTATCCAAACATCCACACCCACACCCCAGTATAATTCTATAAATTGTGATATAGTTATAGAAAACGTGTAGAATTCGCGATTGTATCCTGCAGAAATTTATTTGAATTTGAGAACATGCGAAGTTCATTCTCTGACCAAAAAAAGAAAGGATGGATATTCAAGATTATATTTATTTTAAAATTTCTTTCGATCTTTGCTTATAATAGTCTTGGAATTTAACTTCCTTCATACATTACAGCTATATTCGAAAAAAACGAATTATTTCGTAGTGTTGAAATTAATCAAAACAAAATTTTGCCTGTGACAAGCTCAGTCTACTTTGAAAACTGTAGGTCACGATAGCGGTGAATTCGAGTAATTCTGCCTGTAATTCACCCAGCAACTTGTTTCAGATGTTTCATTTGTGGTTCAAATACAATTTGATGAATTCGATTCCGTGAACCAATTCAATTTTCCGTAATTGAAACTATGGTACCAAAAATCTCAAAATAAAGTGTATGTGAGAATCGGCGTTGGTGCGTATCAGTGTGGATGTAGGTTTCTTCTTCTTCATCACAATCACACCCATACCTAGCTGACGAATCATAAAAGTTACGAATAACGCTATTTCAACGAAAGGTTTTGACGTTTATATTTCTATGATAACATTCTATGAAATCTTACACAGAGAAAAAGATGAAAGTAATGTAATTTTACCTAGTACTTCAAGAATACTCATATCGCTATTTCTGATTTATTCTACGAGCAGCAAACATATATGATCTTGAAAGTCTCAAAATCTTAGTATCGTTTCGAAAATCATAAAGCTCCTTTCTTGACTATTTTTTGTTTCATAAAAGTCAGTGCTATGGCTAAGATGAGATCGGCAATATTTCATCACCTTTCTTTAAGTTAATATAGTACTTTTGCGTTTTTCTATTTACTATAGCAGCCAGTCGATAAAAATAAATTGGAATACTTGGAGTTTGATACAAAATTTGTAGACTTCAACAATAATGTAATATTCTTCCATTCTCACAGGCTTCACTATATATCTCTCGGAAAGCTTATGTATCGATACATATGAAGCAGAAAAACAAAAAAGTGTTTATCAATATCTTCAAGAAAAAATAAAACTGCAGTCCATTAGTGAGTAATCGAGATAACAAAAAAATTGTGTTTGTATCCTTGCAACAATTTTTACTTGACTGATGAAAACTAACCTTAATAAAAGTGTTCTTATCTTAACAGCTACACCTATTCAATGTTGGCATTTGTTTTGGATTCATTTACCTATATAAATAGAAGCATATGCTTTGCTAATGTTCTAAATTAGAAAAATGTTAAAAGTCACAATGTGCATTCGATAAATCCACAAATTTTTTCTATAGAAAAAAAGAAAACTAGCAATGGCTTATGGAGAATATAGCCACAGGCGTATTCAGTTAGGGTTGATTATAATTGGTCTGTTTGTAATA